GAGCTTGGTGGGGGGACACACCAAAACTGAGGAGGGATATGGTGGGGCGGAACACACCAAGGCCCAGGACCTCACCAGGAGGGGCATCCAGCAGATGGTGGCAATGATCATGATGCCCACGAGCTGCACCATCATCTCCACCTCGCTGTCCCGGCGCCGCTGCACCGACTCCCGGTCATGGTAGACACGGCAGAGCGTCACCACGCTGACTGTGTTGAAGATGAAGGAGAGCAGCACAGAGAAGATGCCCAGCAGGGCAAAGAGCAGGCAGAAGATGATGTCGCCGGTGTCGGGCAGGAGCGTGAGGAAGCACCAGGAGCCGGGGTACTGCAGCGTGTACCGTCCCAGCCCCAGCACCGGCAGCAGCCCCAGCAGGCAGGAGAAGCCCCACACCAGCCCCACAATGGACCAGGCGCGGCGCTTGGAGATGCTGGTGGAGCGGGAGAAGGGGTGGTTGATGCCAAAGAACCTCTCGCCGGCCATGGTGGCCCCCAGCAGCAGTGGGCACTGCCCGAAGAAGACCATGGAGAAGCCGAGGAAGTTGCAGAGGTGGCAGCTGGGGTCCACTTCAGCCCAGGCGAACCTGATGAAGTGGTAGGGGATGATGACTGAGGCCGTCACCAGCAGCCCCATGAAGTCTGTGACCACCAGCCCGCAGAGGAAGACGAGGAAGGAGGAGCGGGCCTGGCTGGACAGCTTGCGGGAGGAGCTGAGCAGGACGCAGAGTGCGAAGAGGTTGGAGCAGAGGCCGATGAGGCCGAAGGCAGTGGAGAACCAGGGCGAGGCAATGCTGCTCTGTGCGTTGTCGCGGCCATCGCTGGCGTTGAACACCCCAAAGCACGTGTCCGACCAGCTGGCCGTGCTGCTGTTGGGGGACTCCATATTCCCCCACCCCGTCCCGCTCCCTCCGGTGGCTTCAGGCGTGCTCCTGGCTCGGCTGCATGGCGTCTGCTGGCACTGATCCCGCCTTGCCCTGAGGGGACAAAGAGGGGGCTTAGGGCTGGTCCCCCATGGCCAAGCCCATCTGACACCCACCCTGAGCCTGCAAACGTCGGGCAGCCCACGGGCTGTGGAGAGGGACAGCACAGCAGGACCAGAACACGTGCTGGGCTGGCAGCGCTCTGGGTGCAGCAGCAGCAGAGGGCACGGGGGGACCCAGCCCCACAGCTGGCTGGATTAACCTCCCCTGGCTGCGAGGCACGTGGGGCTGTAATCCGGCATGGGGGGTGGCGGAGAAGCACGGTACTGGCAGCTTGGCTCTCACGGCACTGGGTCCCTCCCATGCTGGGGCGGGGGGCAACGCTCAGAAGGATGGGGTGTGCAGGCACAGGGTGACTGCACCGGGACCTGATCCTGACATTGCCCCATGCAGCCCTGTACCTTCCCCTCCGCACCCCCCGCTCAATGGGAAGAGGCCCCATTCCCACAGTGTGGTGGGGAAACTGAGGCACAGATGGGACGTCCACGCCTGGAGCTGTGTGCTGCACACGCTGGCGCCGGCACCACAGCCATGGGACACATAGCTGGCTTGCACGTCCGACACCCAGTTCTCCCCTCCCTGGCCCCCCTGGAGCTGGAGCTGGGGGTTTGTCACCCGGCCGTTGGCCCGGTGGCTGTGGCAGGGTGCCTGAGGATGGCTGCGGTCATGGGCAGCCCGGTCGATGCCACGCTGTCGTGCTGGGCAGTGACCCGGGGCCAGCAAGGATCTGGGAAGCCCAAGGGCTGCTGCCTCCGTCACTAATTACTCCAGGCTGCAAACAGGGTGACGTGGGATGGGGCAGAGGCGTGGTGACAGTGGGGACCAGACCCCCCCAGGGACCAGACCCCTTCTCTCCTCCTGCGACCCATTTCTCCAGGCTGGGAATGTCTTCGCCACCCCCTCTGCCCTGTCCTCACACCGCTGGCTGACACCATTCCTGGCCC